GGAGACGAGGCAGGGAAATGGAGAGGAAAGAATGGAACGAATCGAGGCGGCTGAGAGGAGGAGGAGGAGGAGGAGGAGGGGGAGGAGGAGGAGGAGCAAGGAGGAGCAAGAGGAAAATGAAAGGAAAAAGATTAATCGTCGAGAGAAAATAACGACTCTCTTATCTTTTACGGATTACATTGTCTACATCACCTGATATCGTCGACTCCATCTAACTTATCTACGTCGGGGATTTCACCAACGACAGCAGACTCGTCCGTCATTTCTTTCGGCAAAGTTTTTCGTCCTTTCTGACTTTTTTGCCTTTTCCGCGACGTATCCCTGGACTGTGCCATCACCGTGGTCGTTGCCGCCTTCTAAATTCATCGAGATCGGACAGAATGGCGAATCTGTCGATTCGAGGTTTTTCGTTTCGAAAACGCCCGCGGCGTTTGCGAGTCAACACGTTTTCCCAGACAGTGAGTCTGGGAAAGTAGAGTGTCGCGAGTGTCGAATTGTAGCGAATTGTGTAGCGAATTGACTAACTCGAATCGCGTTACGTCGCTACGCCGTTGACGTCCAGACGAATCGGATACGATCGTCGCCGATCTCGGTCTATACGGTACAACGAAATAACCTGCCATTCTCGCCATCTTTCCAGCTAGAACATACGACAGTATTCTATTAGATATCGCCAAACGAAATTCCGAAATACCTTTATAATAATAAAAATTCCTTTACCAACGACAAAACGCGACGCGGTGCATCGATGGGTTTTATTCGTCGCCTTGGCGTGCTACGCCTTTCTTCCACCGCATCTTCTTCGCCTTCTTCTTCGTCTTCTTCCTCCAATTCGTACTCCTCGTACAAAGTCTCGGAATTGTCGGAAAAAGGATGCGCGTCTTCCTCTATTCGTTCGCTCTTCGTCGGCTCTTTGTTACTCGATTTCCTGTGAATCAACAATTTCTATTTTATCTATCCTTACCGACTATTTTCTTTTTTCATCCCTTTGTATTTTTCGTACGAACGAAATCGTATCGAGCCACGATAACAGACAAATAACGATAACGAACAATAGATACGAATAAAGCTTTTTCGTTGAGCCGAATACCTTCTCGTAATATTCGTTTGCTCGAAATCCGAGTTTGAACCAATCAACGATGCTGCTTCGTTTCGTGGAGAAATCGACGACATCGATGCCTTTTAATGATTTCTGTCTCGTGGAATTTTAACGTTCCTTGTAAAAGGAATACAATAGACGGAAAGACACATAAGCATTAGAAAAGCAAATGACCAGCAAAAAAAGAAAAAGAAGAAAAATAAGAAAAGAAAGAAAAAAAAAGAAAAAAAAAGAAAAAAAAAGAAAAGGAAGAAAGGAAAATCGAAGGGAAAGGTGTGCAAGTAAGTTTTAATAAACATTTTTATCGTAAATTAGCACCTCGAGAAGTACGTGTAAACACCATATACGCCGTATATAAACGATAGAACTGACAAAATCGACCACGATGTTCAAATGTTTGTATCCGTGACATAATAAATATTCGCTTACGGGCTGTGTACAGAGTCCCGAAACGCGTAGTTTCGGTTTCGTACAGCGACGAATAATAAATGAATGCATATGCAAAGCTTTACTCTTTGAACCGGAATGAATTAAAGATGCATTAACCTAACCTGTTAATTCCACAGTCATTTCCTAATGTTTTCCGCTACACTGCGGATCTATTCGTTGGTTAGTCGTTCGATGAATCGATTCATCGAACGATCGGCGCGTAGAGAGCTTAAACGAGAGAAATTACGAGAAAGTGTGGAGAGGAAACGGATCGGAACAGAGCGGCAACGAAGGTTAAAAAGGAAGTAACGAAGGATACGAGTTACACTATGTCCGTAAGTTGTTTTCGAGCGAAAAAAAGAAAAGGAAAAGAAAAGAAAAAGAAAAGAAAAAGAAACGAGATATAGGTTGGTTTGGGCGAGATAATAGTTGGTGATACCTTTATTTCAGGTACGCGGCAATGCGAATACAAGGTCTAAAGAATGCGCATCGATAGCCGCATTTTACGCTGGCCGAAATATCTTCGTGACTGGTGCCACAGGCTTCATGGGGAAAGTGTTGCTCGAGAAACTTTTGAGATCTTGTCCCGACGTTGGAGAGATATTTATCTTAATGAGACCGAAAAGGGGACTGTCCATCGACGATAGATTGAGAAAAATGCTCAAGTTGCCGGTCAGTAGAAAAAGATATTCGATCGTATATCCATGCTTTTCTGCGTGCGTTTTTGGTAATTCTCGCGTTTGCAGTTGTTCGACAAATTGCGCGAAGAAAATCCGTCCAGCTTGGAAAAGTTGATCCCGATTCTCGGTGACACTAGCGTCGAGGGCTTAGGTATAGCATCGATCGAAAGACACGTCATCATCGAACGAGTTTCCATCATTTTTCACGTCGCGGCGAATGTTCGATTCGACGAATATCTAAAAACAGATATGTTCTCAAATGTTCGCTCGACCAGAGACGTTTGCATTCTCGCAGGGAGCATGAAGAAATTGGTGGTAAGCAGAATTCTTTATTCTTAACACGCACGGTTTACGCGAAGGAACGAGCTTTTCAAGTTGTTTCCGTATCCAGGCATTGGTCCACGTTAGTACCGCATACGCTCATGTCGACAAGCCGGTGATCGACGAGGTTTTGTACCCTCCGTTGACCGACTGGAGAAAAGCTTTACGTATGATAGAAACTGTGGACGACGAAACTGTGCGAATACTTACGCAAAAGTGAGTGACTTTGTACACTATCGGCCTATCCCCGGTTTCCTCTATCTATCGTATCCTCGCATCTTCGTTTAATCGATCGATCATTTCTCACCGCAGGTACGTGGGATCGATGCCAAACACGTATACTTTCACCAAGCGTCTGGCGGAGCAAGTGATAAACGACTACTCGAAAGATTTGCCCTGTGTAATCTTTCGGCCAACGATAGGTATAGCGCGATATTTAGCCAGTCACGAGGCGCGATACCAAGGACTTTGGCAAGACGAAGAGTTTATTAAATAAATCCGTTTACCGTTTACAGTGATATCGTCGTTTCGGGAACCCGTGCCCGGCTGGCTGGACAACTTCAATGGACCTGTAGCGATGATGGTCGGTGGTGGAAAGGGAATATTACGAATAGTCCATTTGCAACCGAACCTTGCCGCTGATTACATCCCTGTCGACGTAGCTATTAACATTATGATTACAACCGCGTGGAAACGAGGATTACAAACGTACAACGACTAGAGTACAATGCAAACGAACCAATCACCTTTCCACCTACCCTTCTTAATGCGTTGAAAAAATGCTTTCAGGATTACCAAGGATCCAAGCGTTCACGTGTACAACGGTAGCTCCTACGCCATTCACCGTATGACCAATCGGGATTTGATCGTAATGGGATTTAAAATGAACGAAGAGATACCGATCGAAGGAAGCATCTGGTACCCCCGAATCATTATAACGACTAACCGCATTTTTCATTACGTAATGACGTTGTTGGTTCACGCATTGCCAGCGTTGATCATAGACAAAGCCCTCGAAGCGATGGGTCGTCGACCGATGTAAGTATACCCACGAAATTCCTCTTTTCTCCTTTCATTTTCCGTTCTCCATTTACAACTATTTTCCATTATCTCAAAACTTCTTTCTCCTTTCGACAAGGTTGATGAAAATTCAAAAAACGATCTACTCCAGCTCGATACGCTTGTATTACTTTTTACACAACGAATGGATTTTCCACAATGACAACATGTTAAAGAGTTTAACGGACATTCCGCCGGCAGAGAAAGAAATCTTCAGTTATGATTTTTCAGGCATAAACAAAGAAGAATATTTTCGGTGAGTAAATGCATACACGATAAACAATTACCGACGAAACGCTTCTTTCCTCTCGTTATTCCATCTACGCTTCCCAATATAATTCACCCTTTTCTTCGATTAGGAACTGTTTGATCGGAGCTAAACTCTATCTCCTGAACGAGGACTTTACTCGCTTGAATGAAGCCAAGCAGCATTACAACAGGTAACGTTCCAAACCGCCGATATAATTTATTCGTTGCCGATACACGTCAATCGACGGTTGTCTCGTCGACTGTACCATCCCGTTCTGGTTCTCGTTCTGGTTCTCGTTCTCGTTCTCGTTCTCGTTCCCCTTCTATCCAACTACCTATATCTCGAAAAATTCCGCTTCCAAGGTAAACGTTTGATCAATCGCCATTCGAACTTACATACGGCCGGTGTTGGTATGGCGTATGGCTTGTGATACAAGCAGGTGTAACCAAAACGTTCACCAACAACGGTTTAAAGACGCGCCAGGTTTAATGGTGGGAGAAACGGGAAACCCCGTTCGAATAGCGTCGTCACTCGGGCTGCCGCCACGCGTCGTCCATTTACATCGTTTTTCTCGCTTCTCATATTTTCCTCGCCTTTCGTATCTTAACGACGCGTTATCGATCTTACCTCGCTCGTTTCCCTAATTTCCCAATTTTCCCAATTTTACAAATTTTACATCAAACAACATTCCAAACGATCGAATATTTTCTAGGATGAAGTGGATCGATCGAATATTCCATACCTGTTTCATCTTACTGTTAATCTGGACATTTGGAAAAGTAATATTTTTCGCACCTGTTTGAGTATGATCATCCCTTTCTCGTTTAATCGTCTCCTGCTGCGGATCTAACTACTTTCTCGAAGATAATAATGAAACTTTATTTCACTTGAATTGACAAAGAGATGGAATTGAAGAAATAAAAAAGAAAAACGGGAGTAAAAGAAAGATCAGGAGCAAGAGGGAATGGAAGAGGAAGAAGAAGAGGAAGAGGAAGAGGAAGAGGAAGAGGAAGAGGAAGAGGAAGAGGAAAGAGAAGAGGTAGATGAGACGAGGTAGAAAATAAGCGGGAGATCCGATAGAAAGAGACGAAACAACGTAATCGACGGTATAGAAAATATCCAATGATTTATGATTATCGTGATATTATCGTCCGGACGATGAGACCAAGGATAATTTCACACTTGCGCATAAAATAAATCGGAAAATCTGTCTAATCTTTTTCATGCAAAATTTAGTTCCTTTTACGCCGCAACTCCACAGCCTCTCAAACAATCGAGACACTACGCGCTACTCGCGATAAACTTGAAATATAAAAAGTCAAGCAATATCGAAACACGAATCGCTTTCAACAAAGTTTCCCGTTTTTATCGAGCTTTTGCTAAGAACACGATCTCTGATACCACCTGATACCTTAATTCTCCTTTCTCGTTGCTTTCGCGTTGCTACCACGTTGCTGCCGTCGTTCCACTCACTCTCGTATCTTCCTGCTCACTCTTATCCTCTGTAACACGCTTGTGTATAAAACGAACCGAGAGAGAGGAGCAGAACGAATGTTGCGAGCGGACCGGAATTTCTTGTAGTTTCAGTATAAAGGTATTCGATCGTGGAGCACGTTCGAAACCGCGATGGCTTCGTTTTACGCATCGTCTTTGACGGCTAGTAACGCATAATATGGATCGGCGAAGAAACTTTCCTCTCTGTCTATCTCTCTTCCTCTGTACCATACTCGTTTCCCTGACAACTCCTTTTTATTTTTTTATTTTTTTTCTTTTGTGATTAGATTTTACGCGGTTATGACTAGTCGTAATATCCTTGCGTAAACCAACCAACGTGCATGCATACGCATCATATGCAAATGGTTGAAACAACGTCATCGATAGTTGCGCATGCGTCTCCGCTATCGCGAGGCAGAAGCGTGACCAGTCGGCCGGTCGGACCAACCGAAGCAAGGCATACAGATTTCCTCGCACGATTAATCGTTGCAACGAATTCACTGCGTCGAATCGTGTACGAAAAGTGAAACCGCTTCTACCATCCAACATCGAGCGAACCGACACTGTGTTGTTTTTAGATAGGTAGGTAAGGTGGTAGCTATTCGTGAATCGGTGAATCGTAAAACGGCATGCTCGCTTTTGTTCGTAGACCAGCAACAGGGCTAACAACATCGTTAAGTAAAAGATTGCGAAACGTATGCGTACATCGCGTAAATAGGACCTTTTTATTCCACTCGTTTCGGAAAGACACCGAACAGTGACGCACGAGTCGTACTTTTCCGTCTCATAAACAGCGATCGACTGCCAACAGCTGTTGCCGTTTTTATTTTTTTCTTCCATGTATTATATTCTCATTTTTCTCCCATATAACGCGAATTAAGAAGAGGAACCGAGTAATCGAGTATAGTGGATCGTCTAATCTGTTGCAAATCGATCGATCGATCGATAGCGCCTAAATCCATATATATTACGTATTTACGCGAATTTCTTTGCTTTCGTTTTCTCTTTCGTCTTTGCTTTCGTCTTTGCTTTCGTCTTCGTATTCGTAATCGCGGTTAATCGTCGACGGAATTACCCTATGCGATTTCATTTTTTCCCTTTTTCTTTTGCAAAACTTTCAAAAGATTCCTGAACGATACGTCAAGAATAAATTACAATTTAACGGTTAAAAAGATATTCTACGAATAATTCTAACTTATTAGAATTTTGAGATAATAAGAAAGGTTACGAACTGACGCGTTAATAATACAACGGTAAGTTTCACATTACCGTTGTAATGTGTAATTTCGCATTGTTCTTTCATAGTCTCCATTACCATTATTCGCCTCTTTTATTTTCTACACCTTTTCTACTATTTATTGTTCTACTTTTCTACTATCAGTTGGATACTTTATTGGCACTATGCCAATATCGAAACTATGTACCGTACGTTTTTACTTTAACGCGAACGTTTTTACTTCTTAGAGTGTACGAATCGTAACTACATTGAAATCTATTTGCAGGTAAAAGATAAGTTCGCAGCGCGGTGGTTTTCCACGCGTTAGCAAGAAGAAGCTGGAAGAAAAAATTTGCCAAATATGCGAAATATCCGTGCAATGTCCGTACCTCAAAGACAAGATACCATGTCGCGATCTACCAGTTTTCGCTTGTCGAACAATATCGAAGACGTGATCGAAAAATTTGAGTGTCTTCAGCTTCTACAGGGTCACAGTGCAGGAAATCGACGTTTCGATATAATCGATCAATCGAAAGAAGTACGCGATCTAACCGATCTCGATCGACTCGATGCTTATCGTAAAAAACTCGGCGAATATAACTCGAGTTGTCAAATATTCAACAACAATGTCGAGCTCAACCAAGATCAAGACCAAGATCGAGATCGAGATCGAGACCGAGACCGAGACCGAGACCGAGACCGAGACCGAGACCGAGATCAAGACCAAGACGATCTCATTGAACGAGGACCAATTAAATCGCACTTTTCGCAAACACGCAATCAACCGTATCGAACAAGCGTTGTCCAACAGTTGCGGCACTCGGAAAAGAACGATGCTTTTATAATCGATTACGATCAAACTGTGGAACAAATTCTGCGTGACAAAGAGTGCCGCGAAAAATTGAATCCTTGTCTCGATCAGTTGGAAAAAAGTTTGGAGAGGATAAACTGCAGCTATAATGGTAACAGTAAGAATGAAAATACGTGGCAAGCGAGCAATTTAAGGAGAGATGTACGTACGTTTGATTCTTCGATCCAATACCTTACTTAACTAAGCAAATTACTCAACTATTTCTAACGACCATTCATGCTTCTTTCAGTTTTCTTCAACTCCTACGAACGTCGAAAATATTTTAAGCGACGACTTGTTAAAAAAGGTATCAAGCGGAGCTTTTCAAGCGGCTCAGCACGTGACAGAGAAAAATTTCCTTCGTTCGTGGGGAAGGACAGAAGATTGCTTCGATTCCTCTTTCGGCAATGATAATACAACGTCCTTCAGTTCCGAGAGTCACGAATTCAATTCCCCTCGCTCGGCTAACTCCAATTATATGACCATTCGTGCACAATTTTCGGAAAGGTCGGAAGAAAATTTCAATCACAGCCCAGTTGGCTCTCCTCGGGTAAAGAATATAAAAGAATTTTCCTCGACGTACGTTGGCTCGTTTAACACGTTTCCGTATAATTTGTTGTACTCGTACATTGCAAATTCTTAGGTCACCGTCGCACCGATTTATAGGCCGCCGCAGACATCCTGTTCCTCCAGCTGCTCGTCTTCGTCTTCGAATCAATCGTACGGTGACACGCCTAGTCCGAATAGTTGGTATCAGACGGCAGTCGGTTCTCAAAGCGAAGAAGGTTTCTCTACCTGGTTTTCATGTCACGATCACGAGACTATCTCGAGCAACGTGCAGGATAACATTGAAAATAACGAAACGTGGTCGAAAATAATGGAAGAACTAGTAAGTAATTTAGAAGGAGAAAAGACCAAAGTTGGAGTAACGGATACGCAGCAAGATTCCCTGAAAGCGGTAAACACCACGAATTCGTGTACTTTTCAAACCAATAATTCTCAACAGACAAACCAATTTCGATACTCGTCATCGTATTCGATACAAGATAGTAATATCCTCGAGAAAGAGCCGCAAAGTATTGAAACGACAAATCTGATCTCGATCGATTACGACGCACCTTTGCTTTCCAATTATCCAAAGGATGATAACGCATACAGTAATATCGGTCAACGTTCGTCGGAAAATATAAACGACCAGTGCGATCTTTCGTTGATATTTCATTCGATCGCTGATCCTTCGCCAACTTTAGACACGCTCGTTATTTCCACCGATTTAAACTTTCACGATATTCAAACGAAGAAGCTATCAACGGATTACAAAGATGACTGTCACATACCCAAAATGGTTGCTTCGTTCGAGACTTGGCCTCGGCAACCTTGGTGAGTTGCTCCTCGATGATTTTTGCGAAAATTTATCCATCGTCCGACGTACGCGCATAATCGTTAACCACGAGTTTTTCTTCTACCGTTACAGCAATTCCGATCGAAATATATTACCCTGGTCATCGTTGAATCTACCATCTGTAAAGGCGAGCGATAGATTAAAAGAAAAATTGAATCCGAAAGAAGTGAAAAAAGCTATGATTAGCCTGCTGAAACGATCGACGAAAGAGCTCGCCAAGCGAGATAAAGATGGAGACACGTAAAGTATTTTCTTTTACCAATTAATCCATCTTAAGTTCGCCGACTTAGATTTAATCGTTTCTTTTATTTCTTCCCGATAGGACGTTGATGTGCCTGGTTGCCAATCCTAACGAACTTACGCAGAAAATGGCCTATTTGGTACCGCTCGTAGAACGTCTCAGCACAATTACCGGAGCACTAACCATTATAAATAATCGCGGTGAAGATGCACTTTATTTGGCGGCATTGAATTGTCCCCAATTTCCCTTCGTTACAGGGTATTTAGCCGCAACTATGTTACAGAAAGAGATCGACATTACCCAACGATTATATCATACTCGGGTATGATTTTTCTCTTTTTTCCTCCTTTCACCTTCCACTCTCCACTTCTCTATACACGTATCATTCTATGGGTTTTTTCCTCGATTAATCTCTAGGAACGCTATTCGTAAAAAGATCGTATTATTTTCACAGGGTGATACACTGATACATTCAATCGCGGCGCAAGGTGATTCTCATAAAGAAATTCTAAGCGAATTATTAGCTTTAAAAACGACCCAAGGAAACAGGTTGTTCGATCTGTCGAAACGTAACTACGATGGTTAGTAGGGAAGTTCCTCTTCCGTTCCGCATAATTTTACCTATCTAAATCTGAACAAACACTCGATCTTACCGCTTTATGTTTGTTGCTTTTCTCTTTTCATAGGTAGAACAGCTCTTCACGTTGCGATCGAATCGCATGAACCGTTTACAAAAGGAATCACATCGTTAGAAACCGTTAAATTACTATTGAAATACGGAGCTGATCCTAAGATCAAAGAAACAAAATGCGGCGATAATGCGTTACATATGGCGGTTTCCTCGGATTGCGATCCTGTTCTCGTCAAGGTATCAAGATATATATTCAGTGATAGGCATTCATATTAATTTTACTTCCTATCTCTCGCTAGTTCTAATTCATTTTTATTATACGCAAATACTTATTCGATAGCTGTTACTGAATAATTGTGCTTCCGATTTGGTAAACGCCATCAACTACAATCACGATACAGCGTTACACATGGCTGCAGCTATATCGGCCAACATATCTGCGGAAAGACAAACGGAAGTCTGCTGCTTACTGGTTCACGCCGGAGGGCATACAAATTTACCGAATTGTGAAGGGAAACTACCACTAGATCTCGTTACGCCCGATAAGAAGCAAGCAATCGGAAATATTCTTTTGCAATGAATCGTTTTGGATAGCATCGAAACGTCGTATATCATTTCTTTTGTATTTTCTTTGTTTCTTTCCCTCCCCCCCCTCTCTCTCTCTCTCTCTCTCTCTCTCTTTCTCTCTCTTTCTCTCCCCGTCCCTCTGCCCCTCGTGTATCGTAATGACGCATGTATGAATCATGATGATACTACCTCATACCGTCCCATATCACCGTACATTCTTATCTATTGTTTATGTATATTCTAAAACCGATTCTTAATTCTTTCGGGCTTTTCTTATTGCGTTTTAATTCTGATAATCTTTGCTACAGCATTTTTTGCGGAATCTACAAGATGCGGATAGGATTTAGACATACATATGGATTAGGGTGTACGAATATGTACGAAGCTATGGTGTAATTGTACGTGTACAATGGAAATATTGCATTCTCTTCGAAGATATTTATAAATATCTATCTCTGCCTAGTCCATATAGTCGGGCAAAGTCGTGTAAAACTAGAAACGTATTACGAAGAATAACTTTACGCATTTGTCACGTAATTCGTTTAACGGAAATGAAAAATAAAACAAAAACGTAAAGTGAAGATGATGTATTGAACATTTAACGAAACTTCTAGCGTATTCGCGATATCTTATTCCATTGCAAATTTAAACCACGTGACAACACGAATAGGGGTACTTAGATACGCGGGATGCGATTATATTTTTATAAATGGACGATTTGTGTCGCCGAGTTGAGTTGTTCCATGCATGTTACCCTATCCTAAGGTTAGCAGATGAAACGATGGAATTACCCATCTGTCATTCAATATGAAAGCGGCACGAAACAAGTGTCCATCTTAATCCGGACGATTAACCTTTCGCGAGTTTTCATTCGATACTCGACCTCTGTGACAATAGCACGTTACTCTTTTCTCTGTTGCTACAATGTGACGAGTTTGCTTTTTTGTATATTTTATTCTTCTTACTCCGTTGTAAACAACAGATTTTGTGAAAATCAAAAGAAGAGAAACCTGTTCCAGTGAATAAGTGAAAGAGCAAGAGGGAGAGAGAGAGAGAGAGAGAGAGAGAGAGAGAGAGAGAGAGAGAGAGAGAGAGGAGGCAAAGGAAAAGCCAAGTACCGTAAACAATATTTAAACAATTTTTAATTATCTCCGATTATTAAATGACACAACAAAAATTCAGTCCAATTTACGAGCATATCGTAAAACATTCCTCCACGGGATATACATTAGGAACTAGGAACGAGGTTTACGCAGAATTCCTGATGCGAATTTGAAAAGAGCGAAAATGAAACCTATACTGATAGTAATAAATTGTGCACTGTTGCTACTAACAAGTGCAAGTAATATTAGTGAACAATGTAAAATTCAAATGACAACGATCAGGTGTCATTGTACCGGAAACGAGGTAAATCTTGGAATTATACAATCTCGTATTGTACCGTGATTAAACAAAGCATGAATAACCCGTAAAAACATGCGCGGTAAAATACGTTTTCTTTTTTACAGGAATTTTTACTGCCAGAAGGATACAACTATGAAAATGTGACAAGTATACAAATTGCATCTTGTACAATTGCAAATCTGCATTTTTCTAGTTTACCAGAAGCGAGTCAAATTACAGAAATAATTGTACAAAATATCAGCGAACGTTTGATTTTCGAGTTATTTTTAACATCGAAAAGAATGAAGCGGCTCAAATTATCGAAAATTCGGCGAATACCATTAATTACTCACGACACGTTCATCAAGTTGAACAGTATTGAAACGCTACGAATCGAGGATACACGAATCGATAATTTCGAAGAACTATTCACCGACATAGCAGTAACTAATTTTTTCATGATCAATGTTACCATCGAACGAATCAATGAGCTAAGTTTCTTGGAAAAGGGACAAACTCTGTACATTAAAAACAGTGAATTTCAAAATGTTACTGGTTCATTGAATTTCGCTTATTTTTCAACAGTAGAGATTTTCCACTCCAAGTTTCACTTACAGAAACCGGGTTACATATTGATCGAAGGTAATGTCGTATACATCGAAAATTGTGTTTTTTCAAATTCGAGCACAAACGTAGTTGCCGCAAAAAGCATTAGAATAAATGATACTTGTGCAGATGGGAAAAGTTCTATGAGACTGTCATCGAATAACATTAAAAGTGTAAACAATCGATCGCCTACTGAAATCATTTATACCAGGAATAGAAATGAATCGGAATATTTTTTCAATCGAAATAACACAGTGTGTATCGCTGGAAACTGCAAATGTCCGAAAAACAGCAGTCAAAGTACGCAGTTGATAAGTTTATTTCTCGCGTTTGCCTTTCAATTTTTCTTCCCAATAGCCATTCTGTTATCTACGTTTTCTTAATTCAGATAAGAATCTTTCTGATGCTTCTTCGCTCTTTAACTTTCCAAACCACTATATCGTGCGCACTAATAAGAACTTCTAATCATTATATAAAATGTGTTTTCTTTTAAAGAAAGAGCAATCTCTCTTCAAATATGCAATTCTCTATTCGCGTGATTTTAATCACTTATTTCATGATCCCCAAATTTCTATTTACCTCTCAAGTTCTCTACATTGCTTATTTATACTTTACACATTATCATTCATTGTTAACGTGTTAACGTGTGTGTTGATTTTTCTTACATTGCAATACATGCAATACTTGTATAACTTGTTTGTTCAAAGAAATAAGATATAAATTAAACAAACAAATCGAACGACATACTCGCTTGTATTTACCACTTTGTAAGATCCATGCAATGTATCAATCGTTGATAAGTGACATTGTTTCCTAGCCTTTGTACGATTTTCAACTTACAAGGAGAGTGCAGAGTAATAAAACTTCAATCGTAAATATTTCAAAAACTATTGAGTAGTGCCGGCTATAATGATATATATTCTTGAACTGCATGTGAGACTTGCACTCTCCTTGTTAGAGTATGTATCTTTGCTTGTAGCTTCTTTAACATTGCATAGTAGATCTAAGAATAATAAATAACTTAGTTTGTACTATGTTTGTACTTGCATTTGATTTTTTATCTTAACTATCTTTACTAGTGAAAGGATTAATATGAAAAATATATATATAATGTGATGTACAATGTATGATATTCAATAAAAATTTTCTTCAAGATTGTATCTTCTTATCCATAGTTAGTGATACTACAGGACAAATCAAATTCAATCAAGTATGACCACTGATTCAATGATCATACAGATTCATATTTATGAATTAAAAGTATGGATAACGTAGATTTGACGTATCCTTTTTTGCGTACATACAAATTGAATTTCAACACGCAAAGCAACTTTCACCTATGCTAGTCATACCAAATTATAACAGACAAACAGGAAGTGTATAACTGTTATGTACTGACTCTATTATCAGAGTAAAAAGAGAAAAAAGGAAAAGACACGTGTAACGAGAAAAGAAAGTAAAGTTCTATTCAGTAATAAACAGTCATCATGCCAGATATAATACAGATCTAACTTCTCATGAGTATATGTATCGTGTAACTTTAATCATACAAGTACAACCATAACCAATCAATCATAAAAACAGAAATCAGTTATTTCGTAATGTCTCAAATGAGTACTATTCCCCTAGTTGTGCTCCCAACAATTTAAAATAAAAAATCTTTCTTCATAAAAAAATATGTTATAACAAATCTACTGAAATATTTACTAATGACAATTTACAATCATATATTTCTGTTATGCTTAATAAAAATAATTAACATTATTTTTCAAAGGAGCAGAGACGATTACTTTAATGTAATCTATGAAAGATGCGTGTAAATTAAAGTTTAATTAAAATCGTTAAAGTATTAAGTTAAAATGTACCCGAAATGAAGATAAGCAGAAGCATGAGACAACTTCATGCTTCGTCATCGTCGACCAATCGGTCCACGCTCAACACGTGTTGTCCAATCTCGACACTCTCACACTCTTTACGTTCTTTACACGACACAAAGGTAATACCAACATTGAGTGAACGATACTTGCGGAAACAATCGACAGTCTGTAGAAAAGACTAATACGAACGCCCCCATACTTTTACTGTTCAAAATAAGAGCCAATAGAGGTTCGTTTCATAAGCTCTGGTGACGTACTAAGGTCACAGTTTGGTCGATTGTGTATATGCAATTACTCAGGTCGACTTTTAATACCTTGATTGAACGCCGAAAACATTATCGAGCATAGTAACGTAATAAATGTTATCATATGAGTACATTTTGTTTGATTCGATACAGTTTGGAACTGATATAGAAGAGCGATTAGGAGAACGGCTTACAGACAGCATGAAGTTATCTTCTACATGCGAGTAGTCAAGCAGGCTAAACCACGGTTCTTTCGAGACATCGCAAACCGATAATCAGAAGAACAATTACGTTCTATTTAATGAGTAAGAGGGATAAGAGAGAAAAGATAAAGGATTTTTATTTTTGATTCCAAGTTAGATAGCGTATCTAGATATGGAAAGTATGCAATAAATTATTATTAGATGCACGCAATAATGATGCCCAACGATGTTCTACGAGCAAATCCGCAGATAGAATTTTGACGTAAAGAATCCTTGAAGAATTTTGAGTCAAGGTTAGGCTCGAGTTGTATTGCAAAAAAGAAAAATTGATTTATAAAACATATATAGAAATAGAAAGAAATACCTGGGAAAAGAGGCATAAAATTCTAAGAAGCTGGAGAATATTTAGGGTTATTTTGGAAGAAATACATCATAGGTATATAAATATAGAGATGGATCACTTATTATAGTGTAAATACAGAGAGAGATTGGCAGGCTTAATTTTACTGTCGTCAATTTCATTTTCGTTTATATATGTGAGTAATTTCCTCCAATAAAGCATACAGGTTAACATTGTTTTCGTGCAATAATAATTGAAAAACTTTCCAACGTGGAAATCTAGATTTCTGATAAGATACTTTCGCGGACAGTAAGTAAAGATGTCATTATTTTATCATTGCATAGTTATAATCATTACCAGTGATTGAAATAGTTTCTTCTTTACAATATTTTCTATTCTTACTTTTTCTTATGCATCCATATATGCATTTATCCCTTAAATTAGACACAGATGCGCTATTAATTTAGTTATCTTTTTTAGTGTGTTAACAATGCATTAATACTGTATTCTATCTCTAATTTGAGGGATAAATACATTATTAATGTAATTATTCTTTAGGCTATGCCTAAAATGTTTTATACAAAGAAAAGCAAATGTCGCTGTTAAAGGAAAGTGAACAGAGAAGTAGCTTAGAGAAGCTATCTTGAAATTATGAAATAAGGAGATACCATCTGCTTAAATGCCATGTTCAATGTATATGAATATCGAAAGACTTTATTAACATAGGAAACATGATTTCATAGAATATAAGTCAGGATCTCTGTCTAAACATACATCCAACTCTGTACCCTAAAGAGAGATGCATTTTTCTATTGACAAATAAAAAAGGAAATTGCAATTACAAAATAAGTGTGTAAATAAATAATTTAATTATACTTATCTGTATCTCTAGCTGTTCTTATTTAAAAATTTATAAATAAAGTATAAAGTGTGATGTATCTTTCCAGAATAGTTCTATATATAGAGAATAATATGTACTTCGATTAATTATTATATATTCAAATTAATAGTACAGAAAATATAAAAATACAGAATTGACCGATTTCAAAAATTTCAAATATTTTATAGTAAACTATTATTTTTTCAAACTTGAATCTAAAACTGTGTTTTTATTCAATACCTAATTAATAAATGTTACTTATTCGTTAATCATTTAATAATAATGGTAACATATGTACATATGTACAGGGTATCATGTAACTGGTGGTAGAAGCAGAAGGTGGTGATTCTACATAAAAAACTAAATAACAAATACAGAATAAAATATTTTCATTTGTATTTTCGTTGTCGAGAAAATCGACTTTGAATATCCACCAAATACGCTAGTATATCATCAGTATACTGATAGTCCATCCGAGCCATAGTTGTAAAGTGCATGTGTAATCGGTGAACATTCAAAGTCGATTTTCTCGATAATGAAGCTTCGAATGAAAAAATCGTATTCTATATTTTTTCATATTCACTTATTCTTCTTATCTCCTTAAAATGATAATAGTTAGTCTTGTTATGATGTAATTCAAAATATAAGGTCGTAAATTTTTATTCTTTATACTTTTTTAATATTTTAAAGAAAAAGAAAATTGGATATTGCTTCTGGCACTTGATAGATATATCAAAATAAGTACTTACGTACTCGTTACGAATTGATATAATATTACATTTGATATAATATTACCAGTCTATAATGTACAAAAAACACTTGAGATATGTACTCTAAACTAAGTTTATGCCTAACATGGAAATTTACCAAAAACTAAAACTAATTAACTCACTCAAACTCAACATATTTTATGCGTTCGTAAATAAATAAATAAATAAATAAATAAATAAATAAATAAATAGATAAATAAATACTAATATGTATTATATCTCAAGCACTCAAGACATTTCGAATAAAAGAGAGAAAAGTGGGAGTCGTTTAGATATTTCTCCCACCATTCAAGATAGTCAATATAACACGTCGCTTGCCCATTGAATACTTGTCGCGAGTGTAACTGTATAGGACGAGGGAGAACATTGGCACACCGAGGGAATCCCGGACTCGTTTCATTTATCGCGAAAAGTCTTTCGCAACGGTAAAATCAAATTATTATAAGTTGTATTGACTTTAAAACAGATTAACATCAGTTTTGCACTATATATGCCTATATATACTCATATTTATATATCTTTTCATATACTATGTATCATATTATTTATGAATAATCATATGTGATACATGTATAATATGTATATAATTTATTTATTTATTTATTACATTATGCTTATATATAAGATAAATAATATTAGTTTTATATATTTTATTTATATAAATATTATTAAAACATATTATAAGCTCATAAATAAATAATATTTATACTATATGTTAATATAATATAACAAGTAAACAAATAAATTATATACATTTACATATAGCTATACTGCGAAATAAAAATGTGTCGAATGAAATATCATAATAAAAAGCATTTGGTTATATTGCAGGTTCGTTTCCCCTCGTAATATCAAGAAAATTTGTTTTTGTAGAGCGATATCAGTATAGGTCATGCGTGGAAGGTTGAGCGGACTCGGACTCTTACTAGTCCTCGTGCGACTTTCGTATCAGGTAAAATTTAGATGTCTATTAAATAAGACAAGTATGGTGATGAATAATGAAAAAGGTTGCGGCCAAAAATCTGACCGAAATTCAGAAGCTGAATACAAATTTTTCTTTTTGCGTGATAAGGGATAAGAACATCCCGTGAAAACCCTGAAGAAGGATTGCTTTTTAATCTATACCATTGTTTATACAAAACAGATGACGTACAAACAAGATTCGTCGAATTATTACACTGCAGCAGTAGTAGAATATTCACCGATTTATATCAGAAATAACGGTTTATTAACTTTAAAGAAGAATACAGATGTGTACATCGAATATATAAAAGAAGCGAGTGAACAGGTGAGCTAGGTTGGTCCCTAACGGTTCGATCTTGGTTGTGCAACTGGTCTTCGTAACGTTTTGACCAAATATTATTTTTCCCCAGAATGCCGACATTATCGTCTTTCCAGAAGATGGATTGACATCGATTCACTTGCCTGCTAGTTGGCCACAACTGGACTCTTGGACAACGGCGATTCCGTCCGCTCTCGACGAATATGTTCCCTGTACGGAAAACCATATCAATGTCGGCGAAGTAAATGCTCCGTATTTGCATGACGAATTGTCATTGGCTAGAAACTTTGATTCATTCTGTACTATTCATTGTTCGTAGACATTGAGAAGATTATCTTGCGCGGCGAAGCGAAATCGTATTTACGTAGTGGTGAACATTGCTGAAAAACGATTTTGCGAATGCAATGATGAATGCCCATCAAATCGTAAAGTATGCAATTATTACAACACCAACGTCGTGTTCGATCGATCAGGAAAAATAATTGCCAGGTAATCGCGTTTTCTTTATTGATCCTGCAAGGATTATTTCCTTTTTTCATTGTCATCGTGAGTAGGTATCGCAAGACACACCTCTTTGACGAGCCAGGATTTGAAACAACCGTAACACCAGAAATAGTAACATTCGATACGGATTTTGGGGTCCGATTTGGTACCTTTATATGTTTCGATATATTATTTTCGGTACCGCCCTTAAATTTGACAAGAATGTTAGGAATTTCGAATATCGTATATAACACCGCCTGGTTTTCGGAAGTGCCATTTTTAACTGGTATGTGTACATACCAAATGCTGCAAGTACTTCGCGGTGCATGTTATTTTGTTTACATGCGATGAATTATTATTTTTCAATTTCCCCTTGCAGCCGTTCAAACGCAATATGGATGGTCCTATGCCGAGGACGTGAATCTGTTAGTAGCTGGATATCATGAACCACTTAGTGGAAGTATTGGAAGCGGTATTTATTTAGGTAATGGCTGGGCTTAGGCCGGTTTGCAATTTTACCGTATACATTTATTTTTTAATTTCAATCATCATCGTTATCTCTTTTTTTAATTAATCGATTATTATTTTATAGGTCGTAACGGAATAGCCAATGCAACCATGTCTCGCGATCCCAAACATCGAATTTTGATCTCTCAAGTTCCAAAGATCAGAACCAAGGAAACTAAAGTTGAACAATTATCAACGAAAGAAGGAGAAAGAAATCAGGAAACGGAGAATGACGCTGGACACCATGATGTCTATGGCTATTATAGCAAATCACTGAAAGGAAACATACCCGACGGGATAAAGTTACTACTCGACAATCTTATATCGTTCACATCTGTCCCACTCAACGGTTCAATGTCCGAAAGCATTTGTCATGGTGACTTTTGTTGTGATTTTGAGATTGCCACTGACATCAGTAATTTGTCTTCGACTCATTATCGCGCAGTAGTTTACAACGGCTTACGTCGATATGGTCAAGTGGTACTAGCTTATGTTAATGTGTGTGGCGTAATTCAATGTTCCAACGACACGATACAGTCTTGCGGTTCTGTTAGCCAATCCAACACCACTTTTTCCACTTTAAGTGTCACGGCAACATTTAATGATTATCCCAAGCTTCTAGTAATGCCCAGTATATTAAACTCCTCGCTCCTTCCTTTCCAGCATTGGACGTATGTCGAACATACGTGTGAAAATCAAACGAATCTAACTATCGTTTTGAATGAAGTGACAAAAGATCTTGTTACCTTTGGCATATATGCTAGAAATTTTTACCGAGACAAACAGAATTGATTATCGTTTATCTTTAATGTTTACGCTTATTACTTTCCTTTTTTTAATATTCTTGATATCATTTGATACATCTACTTAATAAAAAATTGGGCATAATGTTACGAAGATACACGAAATAAAACTCGTTACGCGTATCAGGGTCCTTTTTTATTTTTTTGTTCTTCCTTCATTCTTTGTCCAAGCCCCCCCCCCCTCCCCTCTCCCGGCCCAATTACATTCGATTATTTCAAACAAAACAATCACAAATCGTAACCAGGACAAGAATGCAACAGTTAGGCTGAACGAAAACGGGAATGCATAATAGACAATGATCAACCAAATATCAAAAAAAGAAATGCTATCTTTTTTATCAATTTCACGTCGATTTTGCAAAAATAAATCGCACGTGAGGCTATTGACATTTTGCTCAAAAAATCAATATGCGCATACTGATTTACCGAAAGTAAGTTTTCAGGATTATCGTCAAAAATCTCTACAAAATTCGAATGTATCGGCCAAACGAAGTATCGATGAACGAAAAACGTCAACTTACGCAATGTCTTTTGGTACGTTTCTCCAAATACGTTCTATTGTTTTTACTAACGTGGAAAATATGATAAAAGAAACGAGAAAATAAAAAGGTTATTCATCTAAAGAGATAGTAAGAAAAAAAAAGGATAAGTTTATGATCCCTTTATTTACAAATAGTGACCGGTGTTGCTCTGCTTTATGGAGTAAAGTCTCATATGTTGCATTATATAATGTGTCTATCCCCATCACGTGACATTTTAATGGAAACACAAATTGAAATCTGTTTGCAAGATATAGCAGTAGGAAAAGTATCTATATTTAAATGGCGAGGAAAACCGATCTTTATTTATCATCGGTGAGACTAATACCAAAGATTCCAAAGATACCAAAGATTTTACCTTTATCCAAACCCTAGTTTTTTCAATTGAACTTTGAAATATATTGTAGCCACAGTTCCATTATAAAACAAGAAAAAGAAGTAAATATTGCGAAATTAAGGGATCCCGAGAGCGATGATAAAAGGACCAAACGATCCGAATGGTTAATCGTCATTGGAATTTGCACGCATCTCGGTTGTGTACCTATTCCTAATTCCGGTATGATACCTGGTGGATTTTATTGCCCATGCCATGGATCTCATTTCGATGCATCTGGACGTATACGTAGAGGTCCTGCACCTACCAACTTAGAAATACCGGAATACAAATTCCTCTCTGATAATATTATTCTTATTGGCTGATTATATAGCCATTTAATATTCATATCTTTTTCCTAATGTGATATTTAATAGTTTTCTGTTTCATCATTTCTTCCTTCTTTCCTTCCCTTCTTTTTCTTTTTTCTTATATTTTTTTTTTCCTTTTTTCTCTAACATCAATTACCTTTATTTTTTATTTCTATGAGAATGGCGTTGAGTCGATGAAATGATGTTCACTTCCTTTTTCTTTTATCACTGTTCATGTATTTCTGTAACAAGTATTTATCTTCATTACCAACATTATTGTTATTTATCGGCGTCCCTGTCTCTACTCTTTTTAAAAATGTTTAATTAAAGAGGTAGTTACATGTAAATAGCGTTAAATAGCGCGACGCTTCGGCTATTTCCGATTACATTCGGTGAATTCCGACGATTGGTTAGTACTTTGTCGTGCGTGTATGTTTATATCCTTCCTTCGTCTTTCTACTCACTTTTCCCATAATTTCTTTCAGATTGAATGTGAAACCGATTAGTTTCCAAAATTTGCAATGACACCACCAATGGAGAGAATACAAATCCTTGAAACGATCGAAAAGGATATTATTGTGTGCCTGCAAAGTGCAGGTGATCAACAAACCTGCCTTGCTTATAAATACACGATTTGAAATGCAATGACATTTCTCGTTTAATTACAGAATAATTTTTATCATTTTGTATAGGGCAAGCTTTTGTGGAGCTCAGTAAAGAAAAATCCAGTTTGAAACAAGCTGAAGCACAAACTCAACAATTCTTAAAGACTCTAGGACATGTAGAGTCTAAATTAAGTGAACAAATTAATTATCTAACTCAAGTTTCAACAGGTACCTAATCATTTAACTGCACAAAAATGTTACCTGTTTCATGAGCTAATTTACTTCATCTTATCGCAGGACAACCACACGAAGGTTCTGGATATGCAAGCCAAAAGGTACTCCAAATGGCATGGCATAGGTTAGAACACGCACGAAGCAGAGTAAACGAATTGGAACGTATTAAAAGTAAACCAAGATGAGCACATCTTATTTATATATACATATATGCCGGTTAATCATTTTCAACATATCATAATCATGATCAAAATACTTCAATCCAATTAGTCTGTTTGCAAATCTTGACTTCATTGATTGATTGAGTAGTTTGGTATATATGCAATATTAATATGTTCATCTCTGGTATTTATTGATAATTTCAAAGATAACAAAGTAACTATTAAAATAACTATGTAACATGAATCAAAGGTTTAAATAATTCATGCATATTGTTCATTTACTTATTCTTGTATTTTTGTTACAATAGCACTAAAAATATCTTACAGGAGGAACATTCCTATTGTAAAACTCAACTTGAATTGAGCATAAATATAGTAAAACACAGATCAACCGTTATAAGAATATTTTATGGCAAAGAAAAAAAAAAAAAAAAATGATATTTAAGGTACAGATCCATCTACAACGCCCATGCTACGTTTTACTGTAGCGGCTAGAGAAAGTCTCGACCTTCTCTCCTCGTCTAGTTGTTTTGTCAATAACGACATTTGCGATTGTAAATCTGTCATTTGACTTTTCAATGTTCTAACTGTTTCTGATAATATTCTGTATGAAACAGATGTATACGTTAGAATTTTTTAAATTATGTGATTACGTATAATATTGTATTAGAATTTACACAACAAATTTACCGATTACTACAAAAATCCCAATTTCCATGGTTATGCATCAGAGATGTTCTATCCCGCATTTTATGTGAATCGTATTCCAGCATCGCTAAAGTGTAAATATAAGATATATAAACGTTAGAATGCATAAAGTTATTGTGTTGAAAATCAACAATGTAATCCATGACTTACAAGCTGATTCTCCAGAATGTACAGTGAATCTAGCATTAACAGAAAGACAGTATGCCTCAATCACCTTCAGTATAATTGCATCCTCTTCAAATTGTCTTTCATCTGCAATTAGCAAAATGTATTATGATGTAGTACTTTACAAAGTCCAATTATTTTTAAATTTATGATATGCATGATAAACCTGATGTCATTTTTACCAAATACTTTGAATGTGTAAAACGGAGGCGCTGGTCGCAATGAAGCGATGTTCCAAGGTGTTCTAATTCCTAGAGAAGTACAATGTTCTGAGATCGATCTGTGTTGTTGTTGCTGCTGCTGCTGCTGCTGCTGCTGCTGTTGCTGTTGCTGTTGCTGTTGCTGCTGCTGTTGCTGCTGCTGCTGCTGCTGCTGTTGATGTTGTTGTTGTGTTTGTGACTGTGGTTGTTGTTTCCCAGTTTGTTGATTGCCAATCTAACAAATTAGAACAAGAAATACAAATTAAAACAATTAGAAAGATCTTATGAATGATATTTCTTGTAATTATAATAAAAATGATATTAATTTCTAAACGTGCTGTATTAATTACATGTCCATGTTCTAAATGAATGATAACAAAATTATAAATAAATCAATTATGCAAGTTAATGTCGATCTTACTTTTACAATTTAAATTCTTAAAATGCATACCGACGTTAGTAGAGCAAAAGCTTACTTCACACAACATGGCTGTGAAAGGAAAGCATACGCTCGCGCGCGCGCGCGCGCGCGTGTATGTGTGTGTGCGCGCGCGCGTGCACGCATATGTTGAGTAAGTAGGCCCTTTTGCTTGCGCGCACATTTCCAGAGAGATATAATTAGTAAATAAAACAAGCAAAAATGCTAATTATACAAAAAGAAAGAAAAAAAAAAACAGCCATGCCATGGAAGCTTGCCTTGATCCGAGCATCCAGACAATGGTATAGATTTCTTCAACCACCAATGAGCGTATAATCCTGATGTGTATATTTTATTCGTTCCACTGTAATCATTTTCAACGACTGGACGATTTGGCTGAATTGCTTTCCTTCCAATTTTTCGTACAATTGTTTGATGTTTGTATGGTATAGGTTGCGTAAACCTTCTTTGCATTGTATGCTCATATTTATCCAAAGATACATAAACTGTATTTTCTCGTGTTTGAATTTCTTTCACTGTGAAAGTATGATCAGAATTGTAAACGCTTTTGTTAGCGGTATCACAAACCGATATATCCAAATTATTGTCAATTTGTTTCGATAAATCAGATAAGTTAGCAGTATCCCTCGGGGTAGAACCGAAGGGTGATGTACAAACGCACTGATATTCAAAATTATTCTCATCGTTCTCACTTTCGCCAGAATAAATTCTTACAGGTTCAATGTCGCATTTGTTATCAGTATATGTACATGATTTACAAGAAGAATTGATTTCAAAAGAATTCAATCGATAACTTTCAGCCATTCCAGAATCTAATGATCCGACGCTAACTACTCTTGTTTGTAAACCAAATCCAAGCTTTTCTTGAGTATATGTTTGTAATTGGCAACAATGTTCAATAACATTTGAGCTGCACTCAGGAACTGACAGATGATACACAGAATTTATGGTAACAGGCTGTTCGTCAGTAAATGCGTTATTCTTTAAACACTTTACCGCGACTGTTGCATTTATGTGCTTTTTCATTTCGCCAAATTTATTTTTTTGGAAGTTAGAATTAATTGGAAATGAACGAGCAAGAGTAGTAAAACGTGATCGACAAACCGGTTGTCCACCAGGAATATTAATATTATTTACATTATTGTTATTGATAAAATCAGTTGTAGCAGAGCTTGTAATGCCAACAAGTGGCAAACTTTTGCTAATTTCACGTGTATTATTTTGTGCTGTTATGAATTCTGTTAAAGACGAACCCTTTGATATTCCTACAGTGCTAAGATCGAGATCTCCTAATGCATATTTTACATCGAGAGTCAGAGTAGATTTACGCAATACTGTCGTTCCAACGAGTGATTGTTCCATTTTAATCTTATTCTGCTCATAGCTTCCGCAGTTACGGGAACAATCCTGACTACTTGTTTGCATCGGATAAAGAGCATATGTCGTTATATTAGTCCTTCGCATTTTTACATTTTTCATATCCGGCCTCAGAACATATTGTAAATAAAGCAACTTTTTCAAAAGTTCAGGACATATAATCTTTTTCTTGACTAATTTTGCAAAATATCTTGAAAGACGAACATACGGGGGTAAGTTGTAACTCACACGTAACGCTGTTGATGATTTCACAAGACTATTGCTTGTTATTTGTTCCTGTATTAGAAGCTCGATCCAGTGCTGCTGATCTTCTTTAGTAGCACAAAGTACAAGTATACTCTCGATCATTGGTCCTAAGGTCAAAGAGAATCGTTTTGATTAAAAACCAAGTAAAATATTTATTCTTCATTTAGTAGAAAATGAAATGTATTTCTTACCAGTAATTTCAAAAGCATTTCTCATTTCATCAGTATCTTCTGTTTGAGTGATAGTAATACCCGTTAATGGAAGTTTTCCCTATGAATGGATAAAGTGTGCACATGTTTACTTGGACATTTCAGAAAATTGAAATATACAACTGGATGTAACATATATAGGGGAAAGATAATGGAATATACTTCATAGACGAAGGAACTCATCCTCGGGCTAGCACCAAGAACCAAAAGAGTCGTTGGAAAAAGAACAAAGTATCTATCTCGACGATCTAGACCCGTAACACCGCTTGCTAAAGTAACAGAACCAACATAGAGAATTTCTCCGAGAGAATTCAACTCTTCTCCTTCCCATCCTTTAATACCACTAGTTAACACTTGGAGTGCCAATTCACGTTGTTTTCGAATGGACGCACATCGACTCTACGTAACAAGAAAACACAACGTCATATATATATTACATATTACACAGAATAAATAATATGAAAGAGTTTAAATAATAAATTAAATAACTTACCGCTATTTCTCTATACACAGCTATACTACGTTGAGTGTCACCTCTGTCAGAATGATTCTTTTCTGTATACCTCTCCAATTCTTGTAGCATAGCGGAATATTTATCTAACCTTCGAAAAGGTTTGCTTAAACCAGTTGTTAACACTAATATACCGGGCGATATTGATCCGCTACGTTCCATGAAATCATTCAACTCGTCCCTGTAAAGGAAAGGCTTTACTTTGACCTGCTAATTCTTTGTTGTATGTAAACATGTAATGAATAATTTTTGTTTTGGCGCACACCTGTACCGATCTAAAATACATACAGCCCGCGGATGATTTCCACAATATGTCATATGGATAGACTTTAATTTTGGAGCAAGTGTTAAAAAAAGATTACCAACTCTAGAAGCAGAATCTTGCGTCATAGCTGTTTCCAAATTAGATAGCAATCGTTGATGCACCTCCAATATTTCATGTATATTACCTAATAGTTGTTTGTATTCTTCTTTGCTCAATCTACATTCAAGATATAAAAGAATTTTTAATATCGCAGGTATATAATGTAAATAATATACGTTTACATGTTTTACATGCACAAATACAAATGCATATGCACAGGCACGTTATTAATCAATAATACACAGAATATACTTACATACTGGCTGATTCTAAGGGATGTAAAAAGCTATTTATCAAACCCTGTAACTCTGCTACATTTACTCTTTCAGAATCCACTAAATCCTTTAATACAATGTCACGATTTAATTTTTGATGGACAGGTGATTCTTGTAAAATTTTCTCAGGAGAAATCTTTACAGCCGATACATTGTTTTCTTTGAACAAAATAGAAATAAGCATAATATCAATATAACAAATGTGCAACATAGATTATCAGGATGTTTAAAAATACAACTATTTTGTTTCGCTCAGCATACCTGGCACTCTGCATTCTTTCACATGATTGGATGGAAACCAACCTGTTTTGTCATGCAATGTACCTTCCCACCAACCTTCCTCGTCGGTTTGCGTTATAGTTATCACATCTCCTTTCTTGAAACACAACTGTAACAAAAAATATAACAATGACTGAGATGGAAAGCGATTCTGTAGGAACTTTTGTATAGCATAATAAAATAAAAATCAAACATACTTCGTCATTGTTCTTTCCTTTAAAGGAAAAAAGTGCAGTTACAAATTTTGGTGCATCAGGCTTTGACATGGCCATTAATATAAATACAAGGGAGAAAAAGAAGAGAACAAAAGAATCGAGAACTTTACAGCGTAACTGAATATACAATGTAAGAGAAAAACGAGACAAAAGTTAATAGTACAGTTTCATCGTATCAGGGAATGTTCTTCTATTTTTTTGCGTTTTGTGTTTTCTTTCCCTTTCTTTTTATTAATTCAATTACACTTCCATTATCAAATTTGAAATGATATAACGCAAAAAACTTGATACATATTCGTTAAGTGTATTCGCTTCAATGGCATTGTTCTACTTTCACAAAACTACGTTTCTTATTTCTACCCTTGAGCGTTTAATGACATTTGACTGATAATCGTAGGTTTGACCTTGATTCAGAGTATCGCAGGTATTCTTGGCCGATCATCTATAAACATACTCGATTGTATTTAACAGATAATTGAGTAGTTATTGCATGAAACGATAGAAAATTATTCGAAGATGTGTCAAATGTAACCACCGATCATTTAAGAAAGGAGGAGGTTAGCCTTACTTACAGATGTCTGCGATATCTTAGCAAACTATTAATATCCTATACACAGATGCAAGCAAATATGCCTATGTGCGAGTTGAATTTCGTGTAGCAACGTGTACTTATTTTCTACATAAAGTAACTTACTATTTAAGTAGATAAAGTAACATTTGCGAAAGAACATAGCTTTCATGTATAAATAAGATAGATAAATAATAAATAAATGAGAAGGTAATAATTTTCTGAAAAACAATTGTTTTTTCTGTTGTTCGAACGTGTTCCGTAATGTCGTAAAATATATTTCACGAATGAAAAGAACTTGAAAATTCTTCGTTTAAAAAAATAAAATTTTATCTTAAATACATGCTCGCTACGCATTTATAGATGATTTTATAGCGATATACGTGTGTATATATGAAATGATATTTTCATTCGTAAATGCAGTGTCAATAGGTGTACGTATGCATATGATAGATGGGCGAAAAGCAATATAAATATACTATGCAAAGAGGTAAATTTTTGTAGGAAAAGAACGATACATGCAACATCGTGTAATAAATGAATTAGATGAATGAGAAAATGTTGTGTCTTTATTTTACCAATTTACATGCATTCCATATTACCTACATATCGCATCTGTTTTGGGGCATTATTAATATTGCACTTCTAATATAATACGATGAAATGTAATTTTGGAAAACAATGGGGTTTCGGTTTTTATCGTGGATGCTTAGATTCGCGATCGTTTAAGAAGTATATTCAATGGGTTTTCTTTGAATTTTGTAGTTTATATACATAGATGTGAAGAAGAACGCATATGTCGAAGTAATCATCAACATAATAACTCGGTGTATAGAATTGATTTCAATGATTTGAAATTATACATACGAATATAATATAATTTCGATGAAACGATAACTTTTTCTAGATATATTGGATATACGTAGAGATATAGAAATATAAATAGAAAGGAAAAGTGTGTTCATAACGAGTATTATCGAAAGGATCATTGTTGCGAGTATCGCGGCATTGTGATCATTGTTATCGCTAACACAGGCATTACGTGGTATAGAACTTGGGGGCGGGGGGCCGCGTGAGAAATTCGATGGAACTTGATAAATTTCTCGTTGTATAACGATTTTCTACACGATAGAAAATCATTTTTCCGATAGCAGCACGGTCAATATGCAAACAACGTTGTTTGATACACCGATAACAAGAGGAGACAATAAAATTGGCGCGGTTTTACTACGCACACACAGGTACAAGGATATAATATAACATCGATCGAAGAAATCGCCTAATCGATAGGCTCTGGTCCGCAAAATGTGGGTATTTGTCGGTGCATATACATACGATCGCATATTCATACATACATATTCAAGGAGACGCGGTTATCGAAATATACGTATCTCGATCGTCCACCACTTGTCTTTTTCTAAATTTTTTTCAGCTCGAGGGCAGTGCGCATCACATTCCAAAAGACGGTGTTGTGTTTCTCGGATTCTTCGAACAAACACCTCATCTCGACAACATCGATTATAAATTTTCGGTTAAAACCTGCATCATCGTTCACGAAGAATTGTTGAAGATTTACATTGATGGACGGATAATTATCAACGAACATCGTATTCCCTCTCACCCTTTTTTCTCCCTTTCCTTCCGCCTTATCGGAATGTGAATTGTTTTTCTTTTATCGCCTCTACCTTTTCCTTCTCCTCGCACGTCTTGTTTCTTATCGAATTGGTCCTTCCGATTACAGTCAACCATCTAATTCTCCATCTTCCGGTGAAACGTGAAACACGCGTATGTGCATATTCTGAGCGTTTAACGTCGCTGCTCTCGTCGTTAATACGGTTTAGAGAATGTGCAGAGGACGGTCTCTCGTTAAAGGAGAAAGAATGGTGCAAGTAATACAACAACATGCGCGTGTCGAGGACATTCGTTCCTATTTAAACACGTAATCTGTTTCGTAAACGATATAACGTTTTATCGAAAAAACGAAATGCCCGTCCCCGTTCGAAATTTGAAAATGAACGAATATCAGTCTCGCGCGCGCTCATGCGCGTTCTAAATAATTAAAAGTTAAAAATCGGTACGGCACGATGCGGGACGATACGATACGATACGATACGATACGATACGACACGATAAGATACGATAAGATAAGATAAGATAAGAAGATAAGATACGATACGATACGATACGATACGATACGATACGATACGATGCGATGCGATGCGATGCGATGCGATGCGATACATTGCAATACGTTGCGATGCGATGCAAGCGATACGATACGGTACGATAGGATACGATAGGATACGATACGATACGATACGATACGATACGATAGGATACGATACGATACGATACGATACAGTACAATGCAATACGGTATAATACGATGCGATACGATACAATACTATATTACACGATATGGTACGCTATGCTATGCTACGCTACAATACGTTGCGTTACGTTGCGTTATGTTACGTTACGGTACGTTTCATTTCTGTACGAAATAATATGAAAAGTAACCAGAAATTTTCGTAGAAATAAGTAACGCGTTTCTTAGCGACTAATTATATGGTCATTTGTGTATTCGAAATGCTCGATACGTTCGTTACGATGTAACGCAGTAATGGCGATTTAAACGATTGCCACGGCTCGTAGAAATTGCTTTCTACTCGATGGACGGGAGATTATTATAAAGTAACTATAGACCAAGGTAAAATTGGTTTTATACTTAAAGAATAATATGATTTACCGGACAGTCTTTCAGAAATACGTCATGCCTGCAAAACCTCGTAAACGAACAAAATCTCGCATGAGTAATTATACATTTATCACATCGCTCGATGTATACATTTTTTTAAATAACCCTTTCTATTATTCTCCGTATGTGCTTAAAGGCGCGTATCTATAATCAAATAATCGTTCGTTATTACACGAATTTCTTTGCTACATCGCATCGTAGGGAATTAATAAGAAAAACAAACATATGTACTTTAACGTATGTAGCTTTAGCAGATAAAAAATTGCACATTTTCGCATGCACCTTCTATTTTCCTTTGCTTTTTTTTCCCACTCTTCTTCTTTTCTATCTAGCTACTTCTCTGTTCTCTTATATCTTATTTTGTCGGATCGTTTACACGATGAACGGAGCAAGGCGACAAACCCTTGTACCGTTTGTTCGCAATTGCGTTTAACGTATCGATCATCGAAGCAACTACATTATCGATCGAATCTTTGTATAGAAATATACAAACGTCCCTTTCATTACTATGTAACAAAATGTTTAATATCGTAAAGTAATTATAGTTTGCTATAACGCATCGTTCATATAAATTCGAGTGGAGCTTGTTTATTTCATTCACCTTTCGGGCCATATAGCAGGATAGTAATGTATATATTAAACATTCGAAGGGAAAAGAAATCGATAACGCGATTGTATCGCAGCAAGGGAAGACTAGCGTGGGGAGAGTTAGGAGCTATAGAAGGTGGTGATGGTGGAGGAGGAGGAGCAGGAGGAGGAGGAGGAGGAGGAGGAGGAGGAGGAAAGACTGAGAGTAAGAGTGAATCGGTGAATATGTGATAAAGTACTCGCTGCTTTTTTACAACATCAGCATCGTAACGATTAGTTTCTGATAGGAATTAGGTAGTAATGGAAAGAATTTTGCCACGATACCACGTGTACACGAAGTATCGATCTCCTTTCTGATTTTTCTTCGAATACAATCCTCCCTCGGATAAAGGCATAGTCAAAGATCCGCTAAAAACGTTTTCAACTATTCGATTATGTACTTGGATCATCGACTGAATCTTTATCCTGTATTCTGGTTCTGTCATATTAAAGTTTCTTTCGGTTATCTATGTAGACAATCTACATATGTAGATTATTTTACGTTCAACACCTTTAACGTACAGTAAAGGATTCAACATATAAAATGGTCGTGAATTTATCTATGAGCATAATTGTTACAGCGCATGCGCGTATCAGTTTATATACATATACGTATCAAAGTATCTGAACGCATCGCACCTAAAGAAATGTATGTTAGGTATATACATATATATGTATATATACATACCTAACCTACATTATATGTATATACATACATTATATATATATACATACATTATATACGTATACGTGCGTGCTGTTTTACGTATTCATTTATACTAATTTGAACATCTGAATATATATTAATTTATAAACATAATTAACTGACCATTCGATCACAATTTAAACGTTTTTAAAATATCTCGAAAACTTGATTTCGTAACTGATCGTTTGCGTTGGTCCATTCCTTCCTTTATCTGTCACTTATTTTGGTGTTTTAACCATTATTCGATTGAATAACGCAGAATTGATTTCTCTATTATTGTAATGAGACAAATGGAGAGAACGGAAAGAGAGAGAGAGAGAGGGGAGAGGGAGAGAGGGAGAGCGAAAAGAGAGAGGGGAAATGGACAACATCCATACGAATAAAATACACAAAAACAAAAGGACTGATTTGTGGTCCCATGAACGTTAATTTCCACAATGGAAGATTCAAAACAGATAAAGCAATGTTTATAATATGGGAATAAGTATAAAAAGAACAAGAAAGACCGAGTGTGTCTTCATCTTCTCTCCACGAGGTGGAGGAGGAGGAGGAGGAGGAGGAGGAGGAGAACGATACGATACGATACGATACGATAGGATACGATACGATACGATACGATACAGTACAATGCAATACGGTATAATACGATGCGATACGATACAATACTATATTACACGATATGGTACGCTATGCTATGCTACGCTACAATACGTTGCGTTACGTTGCGTTATGTTACGTTACGGTACGTTTCATTTCTGTACGAAATAATATGAAAAGTAACCAGAAATTTTCGTAGAAATAAGTAACGCGTTTCTTAGCGACTAATTATATGGTCATTTGTGTATTCGAAATGCTCGATACGTTCGTTACGATGTAACGCAGTAATGGCGATTTAAACGATTGCCACGGCTCGTAGAAATTGCTTTCTACTCGATGGACGGGAGATTATTATAAAGTAACTATAGACCAAGGTAAAATTGGTTTTATACTTAAAGAATAATATGATTTACCGGACAGTCTTTCAGAAATACGTCATGCCTGCAAAACCTCGTAAACGAACAAAATCTCGCATGAGTAATTATACAT